GCGTGTACCTGTGCAGTAGGGCCGCATGTGTCACCAGTCTCGGCACTTTGGTGCCTAACACAGCCAGCAGCGGCAATTTTGGCCTCTGTTGATGGTTCCCGTAGGATTTCCATTTTAAATTGATTTGTTTTCCTTCTGTTAATTTTTTCCTAATTAAAAAAACATCAATATTCTTTAAAACATTCAAGAAATCAAAATATTTAAACTTAAAAAAAAAACATAATGACATGCACGCTGTAAGATAATTTAAAAGATCACACATCCTTGACTTTCAAGGAAGAATTACCTCTAAAATGCATGTATAAAAAAACCCTACTTGCATAAACTAGCTTACCATTTATCTTACCTCAGTAAGGATACAATTTGAACCTAAACGCACGGAAGAATGTCATGTTTATAGTTGGCAAAGTGTTCTGCAACGTCTGGGTGCAGTCACAGAAATAGAGTGGATACGTTTGAATTAATTTCTGATTTCCAATGAGTTATTTTAATTAGCTAGGTTCTGTTAAGGTTCCAAGACCTTATCCTATCATTTACTTACAATAATCTTAGGGAAGTAATCAAAACATATGAGAGAATAGAAGAGAAACAGCAGAGTACCTGACAATCAGTAGCTTCTGGAAATTTATAGAGATTTGGCTTCGATTTGAAGCCTTCTGTGCAAATCCTGGATCCTAAAGTCATTAAGAACTGTGATTAGATGCAAGGAATGTGTGAAAGAATGTGAGTTAAGAAGAGAATAAGCTTACTTCAAATGAAGAGTCGAATTCTTGCACTCAACATACACCAAACTCCCTCACGCTTCCAAATTCTACACTGCACTCCCTCTTCACCTAACTACAATCTTAAAAGCTTCTTAAGGCTCACTGATTTCCTCTCTTTAATTTTCTGGTAGAACGAAGAGAGAAGAGGTCGAATTAGAGGAAGGTTTTATGTGAATTTCCAGCAAATCTCATCCTTTCATTTCCATACAAGCAGCCCTATAGTTGACGTTAAGGAGTGGCGGGCAGCATGCCAAGGAGAAGGAACTGTCCTGGCCAGCTAGCTAGGTGATCCATCTCCCCTGCCAAGTGGTCAGAACACCACCATAATTTAGATGGTAGTGGTGTCCAGTTGATTTCCACCTAGAACCACACACATATAATGTGTTATATGGCTGCCATGCACGCGAGCTTGGCAAACAAGGTCACTACCTGCGAGTTTCCAATCTCGCGGGTTGGAGAAACTTTTCCCACTTCCGCGGGATGCATTCCAACACTTCTGAAAAATTAATTCATTTCATTTTTTTTAAACATGCAATTTCTTTATTTACAATAATAATTTAAAATAAAATAATAGGGCATAAAATTCAAATTTCTGAACTATATCTTTTATTAATGACATTTGCATTTGTACAAACCGGTGGCTACATTTTATCTCATCTTTCAATCTTATCATGCAATAGACCTTCATATTGCATTGATCCATTCATTTAATTGATTTCTTTAACTTTAAAAAAATCATATGTTCCTTTTTGGTACAAATAGTTCTTGTTGGTTTCTAGGGTATTTGAGGTAATGATAATTTTATTTTATTTGAATTTCCTGACTCTATCTTTTAATCATATCATGTAGTAAACCTTCGCATTGATCCATTCATTTATTTGATTTCATTAAGTTTAAACAAAAAAATTGTATTTTCCTTCTTGGTACAAATAACTCTGACCCCATCTTTTAATCTTATCATGCATTAGACCTCCATACTGCATTGATTTATTTATTTAATTGAGTTTTTTAATATTAAAAAATAGTATATTCCTTCTTAATACAAATAGCTCTTGTTGGTTTATAGAGAATTTGATATAATGATAATTTTATTTTATTTAAATTCTCTGACCTCATCTTTCAATCTTATCATACAATAGACTTTCATAACATATTGATTCATTCATATAATTTATTTATGTAAGATCAAAAAAATTATATCTTCGTTCTTAGTTCAAATAATTTTTGTTGGCTTTTAGAAAATTTGATATAATGATAATTTCATTTTATTTAGATTCTCTGACTCAACTTTTGAATCTTATCATGCAGTAGACCTACTTACTGCATTGATCTATTGATTTAAAATATTTTTTTAAGATTAAAATAATTGTATTCTTTTTTTAAAGTAAATAGTTCTTATTGATTTATGAAAGATTTAATATAATGATAATTTTATTTTATTTAGATTCTCTTACCCTATCTTTAAATCTTATCATACAGTAGACTTTCATATTGCATTGATCTATTCATTTAATTAATTTCTTTTAAGATTAAAAAAAAATCATATTTTTCTTCTTTTTACAAATAACTCTGTTAGTTTTTAGGGATTTGATAATAATGCTAATTTTATTTTATTTAAATTCTCTCACTCTATATTTCAATCTTTTCATGCAGTAAATCTCCATACCGCATTTATTGTCGTGTCCATTTTCAAGTCATGTGTCAAGCTACAAACAGAAAGATCATTAGATCATGTGACATTATCCACTGATCTTTTCGTATACATAATATTATTGTGGAACCAATGAAACCCTCACAATAGACCTTAATATGTATTTGGGGAAATAAATTACCAAATATCTTTGGCAACTATAACCATATAATTGTAAATAAATGTTATGACTTCATGTTATTAAATTTATATCTGTAGTTATGTTGCTGTAGGGATGATATTTTACACCCGAGCTTGCTTCACCGATCCGCAAATATTCGATTAGATACTATCTTTTTTTGTTAAAATATGGGTCTGAGTTAGAAACTTGATATGCTATGTATACATGTGCATATAAATAGATAAAAGTATAGTATATTAATTAATATATCTATGTTTATATTGATAATTATAATTATTATATATATCAATAAATATATTTTTTATTTTTTATTTTTTATTAATATAAATATAATTATATTAATACAAACATAATAAAATAACTCATTCAATTTTTTTTAAATAAAAAAATAATAATATTATTATGCACAAAAATACTAAAGAAGTACCACCCGAACATACAAAATTACAAGTCGATCAGGTGGTACATGACAATCTCAAAATCTTTTCAATCAACTATGTCATGACCAATCAAAATAAAACTAAAAATATAAAATCATTTATCCATAATATTTATAATATATGTTTCAATACCCTCAAAAGCCCTAACATTCTTCTTCCTCCAAACCACCCACATAATAGAAAATGGGATAAGGAATAAACTTTTTTCTTATTACATAAACCAGCTCACACCCACAACTCGTTACTAACACTACCCGCCATAGCCTCATCAATCCCATAATCCCATACACGTACTCCCAAATTCTGTAGACCATAGGACAATGAAGTAACAAGTGATTGCATGATTCTTCTTTAGCCTTGCACATGCAACACCTATTGGTTACTATCATTCCCCTCTTTCTCAACTTATCAATGGTTAAGATTTTTTTTTTTTTTTGACAGCTTCCTAATTGAAAAAAGTCATTCGGCACGGAACTTTAGATCTCCAAATTTGCTTAAACGGTGTTGCTTTGGCATTCTCCTCACCATTTTTGGCAATAAGATTATAGTAGGACTTCACCGAAAAGCCTTTTTTCTTGTCCAGTTTTCAGATTCTTTTGTCATTCTCATTACCCACATTCAAAACAGAAAGCCACCAAAGCAGATTACAAAATTCTGCCTCTTCATCCTCCTTTAAATTTCTTCTAATCTGAATACACCACCCACCCACCCCCTCTCCCATCTCGAACGCCTTCTCCGCAAGAATATCCCTCTCACTAGCCATCTCAAAAATCCTTGGGAATTTATCTTTCAATTTCCTTCCAGAATTTTATTTCAGCCTCATTACCAAGCTGTCAGCGTAAAAAGTCATAAAAATTCTTGCTGTTGGTGCTGATTTCTTCTACAAACTAGACCCATGGCATTTATGTTTCCCTCTTCTACCCCCCCATCCCTCTCCCAATCACCCCATCTTGTCTCCACCACCCTCCTCCACAATTTCCCCTTCTCATTTTACAAATCTCCAAAGCCACTTATCATGTAAAGCAGAAGTTAATTTCGAAATTGATCTCAACCCCAAACTACCTTTATTGGCCGGTTTCTTCACCTCCTCTCATTTAACTAAGTGAAATTTCCTATGCCCCTCCTCATCTCCCCAAAGAAATCTGCATTGTATCCTTTCAAGTTTGGTACCAAGATCTTTAATGGGCTGCTTGGTAATCTTACAACCCAACACACTAATCAATTCTCTTTCATCCCTCCGATCACCAATTCTAAGCATTTCCGTTTTGCTCAAATTAATTCTAAAACCCGACACCATTTGGAAGCAAGCAAGCAAGCAAGCACCTCACGTGAAGTAAAGAATAAAGGTCCGGATTCAGATTGAGGTGGATTCAGATTTATTTGACACAAAAAATAAAAAAATAAAAAAAAACCCACAAAATTTGAGGTGAATTCAGATTTATTCGTCATAGGAACTAGTTGGATTCAGATTTAGTAAAATCTATTCTGTTGCCAAAAATCACTACAAGATCTTTCATTAATCACACAAAGCCCTTTCAAAGATTATTTCACCATTTCAACCTAATACCATAATGAAATTAAAATACTAATTTAGTTGAATTGCAGGATCTCTCAACATGCTACATTAATGTATAAGAGAATCAAAATATTGATTAGTTTAATCCCACAATTCAATTCTATCATAGAGAAATTAGAAATAAAAAGTAAAAATACATTAGAATTATTGCATCCCATCCCATGTGGGATTGATTGGGGTGAGATTCAGTAGAAGTTATACTACCTAATATTTTTTTTTCCTTATAAATAATTCCAATATGATATTTGTTCATCTTCAGATAAAAGCATAAATCACAATTGAAATACTTCCCAGCCATCTAAACAAGCTCAATCAAATAGCTTAACAATCCTCGAAAGAGAAAACCCGACAAAATCTGGAAAAATTTTGCAGTAATAAAGAACTACAATAACAACATCAACTTTCATTTAGAAACTTATTCCTTGAACCAATACGAAGAAAATTGCCCTAGAAAATACCACTACACTAGAAAAATTACACTTATTCCTGATATCAGTCATAAATGGGTTTCGAGCATCAGTGCAGGAAAGAACTGCAAACAAAAGTACTTCATACAACCCTTCGAAAACTCAGAACTCTGCAAACATTGCTTCAATAAGCATAACTTAATTAACCAGAAAATGTAGGAACTGACCTCAGTCAACCACCAGAAGAGAATTCCTTTTTCTTTTTCTTTCCCTCTCTCTTTGCCTCTCCAATCTCTTTCTTGCATTCTTTCTCTCATCTTCTGCCTTTCCAGTCTGCACCAAGATTTAGTTCATCTAAACTTATTGAAAATAACAATTTAATCTTCTTTATTATAGAAAGTCAAAAAGGTCCATGTTCTAACAGAATATAGTAATATTCTATGAAATATTTTAACTAGCCTTCCTAAATTAACTTTATTTCTCATTTAATGTAGTACATAACAACCCTAAAGCTCTACCTATCATTTTGATTATAACTTCAGAATTTTAAAGAGATAAAGATAATGATTAATGCTAATGCTAATACTAACGCTAATGAATATTACTAAATAAAATATAAACACATTTTATTTTCTATTTTCTCAGAAAAGAAATATAAACACATTTTACATTAAGGTTAAGATTCTTTTTCTTTTTAAGAACTATAGAATTCACAATTTACCTGCATAAAAGCTGCATCCTTCTGTTGGGTTTGCCAAACCATGTTCAAGCAGCTTAAAATAACCGGTGGAGGAACTTCATCTCCATCTCAAGTTCTTAAATATCAATCCTCAACCCTCCACTACTTCTGACTCATGTCTCACTCTTTTTTCTCCATGCAGTCCATCACCTGATATCTGAAAAGTGCATCCTAAGTGTTGTCTATTCCACATCCCCCTCTCCCAAGAGCAAGAATGCTAGGATGGACTTTGTTTTGGCTATAAGTAATTTTATGTCTCCTTAACTTTTCCCTTGATATACTCTATTAACCTGTTGGCACTCCATATAGCTTTTTCAGATGAAGTTCTATGCTTAATAAGTTCTCTTCGATCTTTACAAGTCTTTAGCATATCAGAAATGGCTTCAGCTTTCCGTAATATAGATCTTCTCCTTGCACGTGATACATCTATGTCTTCACTGTATGTGTTGGGCAACTTGTTCGAATGAGGGACAGATGACATCAAACGGCATAATTCGTGTGCCATGTCAGTCATTCCTTTTTTCCTTAACTCATCTTTCAGTCTATGAAAAGTAAGATACTGAGGAACTATACCCCTTCTTATCATGTCTTTAAACTCCACAAAAGCCTCTTCAAATCTATTCATCTTGCAAAGCAAATGGATCAACATGGTGCTAGTAGCCAAGTCCATATTACATCCGCTAGCTCTCATTTCCTTGCTAACTTGCACAGCCAAGTTCAATCTCTCATCTTGGCACAACATCTTCAACAGGAGATGATAAGTAAGCCTATCTGGACTGTACCCAGCTTCAAGCAACTTTGTATATAGGTTCATCCCCTCCTCGGTTTTCCTACATTTTGAAAAGAACCTAAAGTAATAATTATAGGTAGTAGGGGTTGGAACAAATCCCCTGCTAATCATCGCCTTAATGATCTTGCTAGCACTGACAAGATCTCCTGCCTTACAAAAACCCTTCACCAGAGAATTGTAGGTGGAAACATTTGGGCCAGATTCACACAATAAAAAAGCTTCCATCATACCTAAGGCTTCTTTAAACCTCCCAGCCTCTCCTAGGGCATCGATAATGGGATTATAAATTATAGCATTTGGCACAATTCCACCTCGTCTCATTTCATCCACAAATTCCATTGCCATCTCAACATGGCACATCCGACAGTACCCTTCTACAAGGGTGCCATAAGTGACAACAGTTGCTCTCACATTCTCCTCTTTCATTTTCAACCAGAATTTCTCTGCCTTTTTAAGTTTCCTTGACCGAAACCATCCATTTAGTAAAATATTATAAACCCGAATTGAAGGAACCCAATATTCCTCCAATTCCTTTTTCCTGTTGAAGTATTCCGAGGCTACCTTAATCTGTCCTTCTTTACAAAGGGAATCCAACAAAAATTCAAACAAACAGATTTCTGAATCAGAGTTACCAATTGAGTCAAAACTGCTAGCAAATTCAAATGTCCGAATGGCTGGTTGGATCATTCCTGCAGGAACTCACGACAGACTAGCGATCATAAAGCCAGAAAACACTAAAAACTATAAATGGAAGTAGCAAACCAAATCATAATCCAAGATCCTTATTTGCCTACAAAAATGAAAAAATTCTCAAATCACGAAGACCCCACTCTTTTGGAAAGAAGAGTGTGCAGAAATCAAAAGGTCAATTCCCAAACGAAAGTCACAGACTTAACCCACATTGGTCACAAATTCAAGTCTTTCTACTTTAAGAAGACTGTACAAAGTGTAAATCGGTTCCTTGTAACTTCGAGATTGAAGCATAGAAAATATCAAACAAGTTCAACTTACACTCACTAGAGCAGAACAAAATACTAAACTCACAAGCAAGGTACCATACCAGCACGAGCGTATCGTCTGATCAAAATGGCAAATGTCTCCCCAGAAACCAAAGTTGTTTCCTCTTTTTTATCAGTCTGATCAAGAATTAGGGACCATGCAAATTCAAACTTCCTGGCCTTAGCGAGAACATTGATAATGGAATTGAATAGAGTTGCAGTGGAGTGAAACCCGGGTTTCCTCTCTGCCCAGAGAAACAGCGCATATAGCAAATTGGGAGAGGAATCAAAGTGAGCGAATATAGCCTGCAGCAAACCAGGATCCGGTTCTATCCCGGTCTGGTCCAATGCCAACCCGAGGGCCGCACCTGAGGAAGTGAAAGGGTTCATGAGGAGTTTAGAGATTGCAAAGAAGTCCTTTTGCGAGAAATTTGAGTTGGGGCTAAAGTGAGGCAAAGTGCAGGGAGGTGGACGTTCAGGTAATGGTGGGTGCCATTTGGCAGCGGAGTTACCTGGAACAGCAAGCTGTGATTGATGATAGAAGAGCTTGTGACAGAGACTATGATTATCAAGGTTTAGAATTGAGGTGCGCAGGCTTCTGTGGAAATTTAAAATAGTGTATTTCATTTCTTTACAGTAGCAGAACTGCAGAAGCTTAGGAGATGGAAGAGGGAGTTTAAGACGAGAGTTGGAGAAGAGAACGGGACACGCGCAAAGAGATTAACTTTCCTCACTGTAACAATCATAAAAGAAACTAAAAGCGTCAGAGAGATGTGTACACCAAAAGGACACCATACCATTTCAAATAAACATAATCAACAAATTCATGTTCAGAGGTGAATACATGTTCACTCTCTTAAGCATATATTCAGACACAGAGGGAAAAGTTACAAAAAAGAACACAAGCAATAATCGCTTCCCTTTATGACCATGGGGATAATGACTGAAACCTCGTTAACTAAGCTAAATTAGAGAAATTAACAAGACCGTAAACCTTTCTCATTTCTGTTTCTACCGTTTTCTTTACCCTTTCCAGGAAGCCAAACAGCCACAAAAAGTTGTACGAAAAACAACGAACAGATTTCGAATCACAATTAAAAAAAACCGCCAAAACAGTACTCATTTTTCTACAACAATCAATAACCATTAAATTACAAACAATGAATATTAAATTACCAATTTTCATAGGCTTCTTCTCTCCCACCCTTCTTTTATTGGCGAAGCAATAGTAAATTGTCCCCCAAAATCTACCATCGTTCGCGCCATTTTTGCAGTGAGTCACGATCCCGATAGATCCATTGATTTCCTACCTTCCTCTTCAGCTGCCACCTCTCTTTTATTTGAGTGGCGAGATGAAGAAGCCGAGAAATTACTCAAATTTGAGTTCTCAACCAGTCAAAACAGCATCATTTATGCCGAATATCCAAACTAAAATGGCGTCGATTTGGGGCTTTTAAGGGTGGTGGGTTGGGTTTTCTTCGGATCTTCTCTGCTGGTTTCTTGAGGCCGCAATTTAAATTGAACTGGGATCTTTAAAATTAAAAAGAGCTGGACTAATTTTTTCCTTTCTCATGTTCTCTCCTTCCCCGAATTTTTCTTTCCTTTTCCTTTCTTCACCATAAGAATGAAAATAGAAATGTAATAAAATGAAAATGAAGAGAAAAAATGAGATAAAATAAGAACTAAGATGATGTAGGATGATAATAATAATAATAATGTTGTTATTATTATTATTATTATTAATGTTACCAAATAATTAAGATTTTCCTTAACTTTTTATAATTATAACTTTTTATTATTATTATTATTATTATTATTATTATTATTATTATTAATCAGATAAAATTGTAGTATGTCAAAAATTGCTCAGTTGAAACTTGTTATTAAGTTATAATATATCCAGATGTTACACCTTTTAAGGCAGTTTTCATCTTTTGCATTTTTTGACAGAGTTGACATTTTGAAAACTATTTTATAAAGAACAAAGAATAGTCATTCTTTTATCATAAATGTAATGGGTAAAATAGATATTAATGGGTTAAATGAGAAAGTAAATTATCAATTTGATATTTTGACTTTTGATGCTACTGACTGAGCTCATTGAAGAAATATATATATATATATATATATATATATAATTAAAACCAAAATAACAACGACCATCTACTAGGCAATTCATAGAGTCTCATTTGTCAATGCCCAAATTTCTTTAACCATCTTCATGACTTGCTCATTCGATTGGGCACCATCACAAGCGTTAGTAGATTGGGCAAGAGGTAGAAGAAAGAATGTGGAATGACGAGACTTTATCAACTCCTCCTAATATTAAAAAGCCCTTTAATCCATTCTCCTCAATGGATTCCTAGTAAGGTACTAATGAAAATGTAGTCAAATACTTTTCAAGAATATGAAAAAGAAACCAAATATTAACCTTACAACATACAAGGAAATATTACAAAATAAAGCAATACATCGACCAATCTTATTTCATGTGCTTGAATACATGCATATACAGCATTTGCTACTTTGGGGAAAAACAAAACCAAGACAAATAAGAAAGAACAGGCGGTATACATTAGTCATACTTGTATCTTATTACTTCATTGTTTTATACATACAAAATTTTCAAGCTAATTTATTAATTCTTTTTTTTTTTTTTTATTAACATATTACTTATTGACTTTGTAAATAAAAGTATTCTAGTAAATATAAAAATTATTAAATCAAAGTAAAAATGCAATTCTAGCAAAATAAAAGAGAAGAAAAACTCAATTTTTAAAGTACAATTTTGCCAAAACATAGTTTAATACTAGAAGTTTGCTCCTTTACTGTACGTCAGGAGCTACCACATACATGTAAATAGATAGATACAAGTTCATAATATATATATATATATATATATATATTAACAAAAGAACATATAGTTCACAAGCTTCCAAGCCATATACTTGGTCAATTTATATTTAGACTGGATAAGATAAGATAAAAGAAGATTTCAGTCCAATTGAATTCAGACAAACCTGTCTACTCAGATCTTACAAAAGAGTAATATTACCTTCTTAATGCATGAGCTCCTTCCTTCAATTAGTAGTTCCATGATAAATAAAAGGAACAAAGATGTACAGAGTCTCTTTCCCCCCTTTCTGGAGGAAGAAAATAAGGAAATAGTCTTGTTTCTATTCCAACAAAACTGACCAACAATTTCTAGTCATAAATAAATAGGATCCAAATTCTCAAGATAGAAAATCATAGCATAAAAATTAAAGACTACAAGCGAAACATGAGAAGAAAAAGCTGAAAATATACATTTTAAAACCTAAAATTAAAGAGCTTCATTCAACAAGAAACCACATTATTCTAGTCAATTTCCTGCCCAAGATTAAAGAAACCCAGAAAATAAAAAACCAGCATGACCTTAAAGCGGGGTTCTAGAGAATCTCACTTGCCGCCTAAAGTAGGAAACTGTCCAGGATCTTCAATGGATGGAGCCAACACATTGTTTCCAGCATTGTCTCTCATAAATCCCCCCCTTGAACCACGCCCACGTCCGCGTCCGCGACCACCAGGATTGTAGAACCTTTCTCCTTCAGCTGGCTTCAGGAACTCATTGATGCTGACAGACTGGACGAAACAAAGAGTCAGTTGTCTATCAACAGCAATGAGTAGCGGATTTTTATCACAAAGAATATAAAAGATCATGAGTGCTTAACCAAATAACAATTCAATCAATTTGCCCTTTTTAGTTTCTCAAAAAGATCCAATAGCACCATTACCATATGTTATCTTTGATGGATCAACTTTCTTGTCAACTGCACAAATAATTTACCCAACAGTATCTGTCTACATATCATTTACCTAAATGTACAAATCAACACTCAATTGAGCTGTTATTTCATATCTTCTAGAAACACATGCAACTAATTGATTCTGTAATTTACATGTGGATATTTTTGTACCATGGATTTTTAGTTTAGCTTTTACTAATGTTCAAACAAAATTTAAGCCGGTTTAGATGAAAAAAAATTGTTTGGCTGCACTAAAATGAACAACATCCTAAGGCCAACTTTTTTTTCAGTAATCAAAAGGATAAATTACCAAATTAATCTCCAAAATTTGGTACTAGTTATAATTTTGGTCCCTAATATTTTTTGTTATAATTTGATCTTTAATATTTTCTATTTATTTCAAATGTCCAGTTTCCTTCTATTTTTTTAATGGAAAAGGCTAAAATAGTTGTCATATTTGGTTGCTTTAAAAAATAGGTCAAAAGAATGATTTTACTAATAAATTAAATTCATATATCAATATTTAATAATAGTATTGAGTCTATTTTTGTTGCTATTGATTTATTAATTTAATTAATTAATCAAATTTATTTTTTTAAAATTATTCTTTTAAAAGCATCAAAAGGTGACTAACAATTTTTATTTTTTCTGTTGAGAAATAAAAGGAAACTGAACGCTTGAAACAAATAGAAAATGTTTGAGATCAAATTATAACAAAAAAAATATTAGGAACAACATTGTAACAAATGTCAAACTTCACGGACTAATTTGGTATTTACCCTAAACAAAAAGCTCTTTTAAAAAAATGTTTGGATCAAAATTATACCCTCCATAATCTTCAAATTTTCATCACAACTACTTTTTAACTGAAGGACCGAGAAATTCTCTTTACGCTCTAATTTTACCTCACATATCCGATTCTTATTCCAGCTTAAAGCAAAAAAAAAATTTAAAGCTCTTGGAGCTTAATGTCATATAAGCTTAAAGCACAAACAAAAATAACCAGATGCAAAGAGACAATAACCCAAAACCAAGAAGATATCAATAATAAATCAAAGAAGCTACAATACTCAAGACCAACATTATTTGAACAAAGACTACCACAGCATCAGAACACAAGGTGCACCATTTTTTTTGAAGGTTCTGCAATACCAGAGCAGAAAGAATGAACACAAAAGTGTTAATACCTTTTTGGCTTTCTCTTCCTTCTCTGAAGCCTCTTTCCGCTTATCCTTCTCAGAGCCCTAACAAGAAAGAGTAGCAGCCAAATAGCTGATAAGTTGACTAAGACTGAAATTAATGGCAGAAGAAAACATCAACAGATGGCCGTTAAGGTTCTACCAGTTTTATGAAAACATGATTCTGGCCCTTTTTGTTTGAAAGCTGCTGCATAGACTCAAACTCTTTAACGTCCACCTTCCTTTCCTCGGCCTTAACTGCCTGCAGAGCCTTCCTCTTCTCTTCCAGCACCTTCTCATACTCTTCAAGAGTCATTTCCTACAACAGAAGCGACAGTCACAAAGGCTTTCAAATTTCAAAGATAGTAACAAATTTACTTCATCATGGATCCATGCTGTTGTAAGCCATAAACCAAGCAATCCAAAGATAAAAGTCAAGAAGAAAATTTTGTCAAAACAAACTATGACTAAAGGCATAGTAAGACTCAATAAAAGCTTCACTTCTGAATCAGAAAGACAGAAACCTTCCTAAGTAGACAGTATAAACCCCTGGAATCTGTTGTTCAGGACGGCTTCAGCAGATCAAAGTAATTTTGGCAAGGGGATCCATTATAACAAACATACAATGTTGGAAATACAAGTTTAAAGATTTTCATAAGTGCCCCCACTTGAAAGAAGAAAAGAGAAAGTTCAGGAAGTAAAATGCCACAAGCTCGGGATGTCTAAGTAAAGACAACTGTTACAAAAGCGCCCTAAAGGACTGAACTCAAGCTTTATGTGCAATCCACTGACGTTACCAGTAACCTTAACTATAACAAAGGAGCACGCTGTGAATAATACCTGGATGCATGCACAGCCCAACCAATGCGATAGAGCAAAGGTATCAATTAATATCAGAAGAAAATTCTAGGTTTAAGTGAAAACCAATGTTCAAATACCTTGTCCTCAGGTTCTTTTTCTTCAGGTTCATTTGCAGGGCTTTCCTTATTTCCATCCGCCAAATCCTCCTCACCCGGGGGCTTCTCATGACTCAAATTCTTATCATTTTCTTGGACCAATTCCTCAGTCACCCTAAAGTTAAAAGGATAGAAAAGAGGTATGTCAATTGTTCTTACTTTGCACAACAAAGGTAAGGAAATTTTCATTTGTGCCTCGAGAACAATTTTCAGAAGAGAAAAATAGTGAACAAATCATGAGAAATGCTCTACTCACTGAGCAATATCATCCGTCTGAGTTCCCCAGTTACCTCTGCCAGACCCTTCCCGTTTGATTTCATTGCTATAGACAGAATAAATCAAGTTGCATGCATAAATACAGTGAGCCACATCAGGAAGAAATGAAGGTGCTATTAACAGAAAATAATGAATTATAAATATTCACCCCCGTCCAGTCCCACTACGGCGTTCATACATCCTCCTGGGCCTTTCACCATCACTGAGTTCTCCGTTACCCAGGCCACCACGTCGTCCACCATGATATCCACCACGAGGTCCACCGTAGCCACGCCTTTCAGAGAGCTTTCCAGCCTCCCCATCTTCAGGAGCACCTTGACCAGCAGGAACTCCAGTATTGCTGAAAGAGTTCTCATCATTGACAGAGTCACGTCTGTAACCACCAGTGCCACCTCTACCACGTCCATATCCCCGTCCACCTCCACGACCACCTCGGTTAGGTTCATTCTTTGCCTCCCTCACTATATTAATAGAAGGGATAACAAACAAATCAAGGAAAAGTACCCCAATCGATTAGAGAGATAATACTGATGCACCAAAAATAATGCTTTCCAAGATTCATGGATACCACAGACAATTAAAGAGAAACAAACAAAGAACTTATTGCCGCACACTAATAACATTTCAACTTGCGCATGTAAAATAATAAATGAATATCATCTAGCAGAAAAAATCAACATCTTCCAAAATCCAACTTCGTGTCTATTTTCCAAATTCTCTAAAGAGAAAGACTCTACAACAATAACGGCAAGTTTTTTTCCAGCTGCTGTATCAAGGATTAGAACAATCTCAAAATCTACAGAGAGAAACAGAGGTTAACCGTTAAGTACAAGATTTTTTACATAAAAAGGAAGAGGAAGAAAATACTTTTCAATTTGGTTTTTACAGCAAACATAAACTTTTAGAGATAATTAACTAACAAGCATCTGAATACACTTGAAACGTAACAGGACTTGAATAGGAGTATGCAGACAAGAAAATACACCCAAAAAGAGAGCACGAAAAGCTGAAGCAACAAATTACTCGTCCAACACAAGAACGACCAAAAGCGTAAACGAACAAATACATAATCAGAAAAAGAACATAAACCAAATATAGTTCACAAAAGATCCCAAAACAAAAGAAGAGAAACAGGCAACCCAAAAAGCTTACCAGCCTGAGCAGGAGGGAGAGGCTTGGAAGGTAGCTTAGACGGCTTAGTCGCAGCGGCGGCGGGAGGCTGCTTGGCCTGAGTCTGATTGGGCAGCTTCTTCGTTGCCGTGGCCTTTTGCTGAGCCGCGATCAGCTGCGAAGGATCCTCGTCATCAACATCACCCAACAAATCAAAGGGGTTCATGGTTGCCATTTGCGGTATGAGCGAGGAAGAGCAAAAAGCCCCAAAAGTTTCTAATAAGATTTCGCTCTTAAAAGGGCGGCCAGGAACCTAGTTTAAGAAAACCTCCATGGATATGTATGTGTATGCAAATAGAGATCTGTAACAAGAAGGTGAAAGTGAGTTAAGAGAGAGTGAGAGAAGGAGAGCAGAAAGATGATTAAAACCCTAGCCGCAAAAAGTGATGAGAGTTTTAAAAGAGAGAAGAAACCTAATCTGAAAATGCTTACGATTTATTGTTGGTCGTTGTTGGGTGTATGAATATAATATTGGTGTATATATTTATAGAAAATTCCTTTAGATACTCGAGAGCAGGTTTGTTTCCATTTTGGTGCTGCATTTCACCAGATTTTTACGAATATGCCACTGTGAAAATTCGGCCATTTCCTTCCAAGTTGTGTATGCCTTGGTGTTGGAGATGGCCATCTTGTATGTTACCAAGTAAAAATATAAGTTTATACTGACAATTCCAAAATCTTGAACAAATATTACAAAAGAAAAAAATTATACTCTTGCTTAGGATTTATATACTCTAAAAATTGATTATGACATTATTTTTTTAGGATGTGCAATTCTCAATTTAGAGTACGTATAATTAATATTTATTTGTCGTTCTTTTTGAGTATATATTTACATGTCTTTTATCTTTTAGTTGTTTTCTACGTCATATATATATTATTCAACTCGCATACTAGACCTGAACTCATAACTATATGAAACAAATTAAGCCACCATAACCTCATTTGGACCTAATTAATCTCCCTTGCTCTTTTAAAATAGAAGTTGTAGCTAAATCATGGGTGCTTCCTTTGTGTCATTCCCTTTCGTTTCTTTTCTTTGTCCTATTCCTTTATTTGTGTATAAACCTCATTCATGTGTTTTATCCTTTTATAAGTTTTGGTTTTGTCTTGTCTTC